TTTGCTTGCTGAAACTATAAGTGATGGTTTCAATGGCTGAGTCCTAATTTCATTTATGGAGTCCCCATGGCCCACAAAACTCTGCACATCCAAGGTCATGAAAACTTGAAATCAATAACAATTATCTAGAACTAATTTTTGAGCTAAAATTTTAAATCAGATAAAACGTTCAAATAGCACCTCTGATTTTGTATACGTGATACCTTGTGTATTTTCTCATTGCTCGCATCGATTACACGTATTATACCATTGAGACCTCCAGCCACAACAAATGAAGTCCCATCCATATTGCATGCCCAGCTGACAGTGTAAAACGATTCTTCCTTCTGATCTAGCAAGCACATGGAAATCCCAAGAGTTCTTCACCAAATAAGTATCCAAAAAGACACAACTCATCTGAGCCAATTTCATCTAGATAGATTCAAAAGTCAAGGGGAAAAAAAAAGTCTCTTCTCTTACATCTTCGTCAACATAGGACTGCAATGCAGCTATAACACCCCCTTCAAGGCATTGGTATACAGTCACCTTTTTCAAGAAAAAGTCAAAAAATAAAAATCAACATTAGGTAATGTCACTCACCATAACAGGGCAAAGAGAAGTGAAACAAATGCAACAAGTATCAATCCTAAATGCAGAATGAAATTGGCATTGTGGCAAGCAAATGACCCACGAGGCATACAAAATACAAATGAAGGTATAAAAGGTGAAGACAAAAAGTAATTAATCCAACTAAGCTGGATTGAGCTTGAGCTCTGAACAGGCTTCAGCTACATCTTTAAGCTAGGCATAAGGAAAGATATTTGCATAGAAAACAAAATTAAAGATACAATTTTTACATTCAATGTTTGCAATCTACACCTCATGTTGCTCAAAGATGATTCATTGTTGACTAATTGATGCAGGAGCATAAAGTTTTAATTATTTGTTTGAGTTTTATTTGAAATCTAAGTTTTAATTTTAGGAAAGTCATTTTTAATTAGGATTAGAATTAGTAGCTTATTAGGACTTCATAGTTTATTAGAAGTTCAAATTAGAATTGAATTAGGATTCTTGGTTATTGTTAGTATATATAGTTACCTTTAGATCTTTAAATCAGTTTTTGTTATGATATTTTAGTTTGAGAATGAACTTGAGGTTGCAAACCTAAGTTTTATTGGTTCCATCTTTAATTTTACAAAGTTTTAGTTTCTGTTTGTTCTACCCCTACTTTCCCCTTTCCCTCCATCACTAATTTTGCAATGCACTAATCTCTACTTAAAAAAAAAAAAAGCCCCTTAGAACCCATCAAATTCCGAGAAAATGAAGTCAAGATGAAAAATTGTTAGAAACCAACGTTTTGTTCAGAAGAAAAAAGGAAAGGTTTGGAGTGGGGGTACCCGGTTGCCGCCGACGGTGGCGAAAACGTTGAAGTAGCGAGAGTCAATGAAGTTGAAAACGACGGCGTACAAGGGGCGCTTCCCTTCTTGGAGACGGTTGGCGAATCTGTATTCTCTCTTCTTGGACAGAGTCAGCGAACCCACCACCGGCTCCAGCCCTATCGGCGTCTTCGCCATTGCCAGACGACCGGACAAGCCGGCGATCAACAACCCACAACTACACGAGGGCTTAGAAGTAACTACAATCAGCACTTGAAAAATAAAAAGGGCATAACCCACGGCATTCTTTAAATGGGTTTGTAGGGGAGACAGAGTTGGGCGTACTCACTGAAGCTTTGGTTGTCAAAACCCTAGGA